ATATAAATATATATAAATATATAAATATATAAATATACATATATACATATATATAATATAAATATATAGATATAGATATATATGTATATATATATATATGTATATATATATATATATATGTGTGTGTGTGTGTGTGTGTGTGTATGTATATACAGTCTAACGTTCGAGTGGGTCCTTAGTATACCCCGACAGCCTGAACGCCAGCTGTGCCTCAAACAAACTCGCGGGCTCCACCGCCGCCCCCAGACTCTCATACAACTTCAGATCCCTCTTATCCACCGTCACACCTTCGTCACCTTGCAAACCAGCAATAACAGCCTCGAAGATAAGGTTGGTAGTCTGGTATGTGGGGTCTGTACGCCCTTCTACCATGGAGCTCCGCAGATCTAACTGCGGCCAGAAGTCGTAGAACGAAGTCTTCTCCTTCTCTGTGCTGCCTCGGTGCTGGAAGTTCCATAGCGTTAGTCCTTTGGCGTGGTGAGGTAGGTTAGAGTCGTGCCCACCATTGCCGCTCAGTATACCCCCCTCTACCTGGTCCATTAGCGTGCGCGACGCAAACTTGCCGTGAAAGTCAATGCTCTGCCCCACATCCATGATATCCTTCAGGATCACAGAGTTGATATCGGACGACTGCAAGGACGTTCCGTGGTGTTGGGTGGACTTGTTTTCGTTGAACAGCACGCCTCGAGACCGGCGAGACAGAAACCCGTAGTGGCCTTTCTTCCCTTTGACCCAGTTGTTCTTGATCGTCACAGCCATGCAGGTTTCGGTCATGACGGCCCCAGACACCGAGTCGAAGTACACGTCCCGCACCCAGGCATTCCGCACAAACTCAAAGGCTACGATATTCCACCCGTTCTCCGTGATCCCCCCACTTTTGTGCTGGAACTCTTCCGGGTAGGTCTTCCACTCACTCGTCATGGAGAGCGCCTCCACACCCACCTCCTCGATAAACCTGGTTTTTTGCACCGTGATGGTCGGTCCGCCCTGGACCGTCTGTAGCTCAAAGGGCAGCGGCTCCTGCAGCACTAGGAATATAGCGCCGTCCTGCTCCACTATCTTCTCAATGCACGAAAGGATACGCACATAAGGCGCGTTCCAATCATCGTCAAACGGCTCACCGTTGTACCAGAACTCCGCCGTGGACGCATCGCCGTCCTGTGCAATGACCACACAGTCGCCCGCCTCGAACTTCTGCACCGAGTCCACCTGCACGTACGTGCTACTGGCAGCCGTGAACGCGTACGGTACTACAATGGCTTTATTACCGGTCCGGCCCTCTCCTTTGAACCTCAGGTTCCAAAAGTCCGCGCGACCGTCCACACCCACCCAGTGCAGAGTTGTTTTGTCGGGCCCGGCTCCCTTGATCACTATCCTGCCCCCGGTTACCATAAACCGCTCCTCGTCTTGGCTGACGTCTTTGAACTGCTCACCCAGATAGAAGGTACCCTCGGGGAAGTATATAATACCGCCGCCAGCGCTCACAGCCAGGTCAATGGCGGTCTGAAACGCCGCGTCGCAATACCCAGACATAGACCCGCAGCCATAATTGGTGACCACAAAGATCGGCAGCTCCAGCTGAAGCAGAGATACGTCCGGTAGACCTACTTCGGAATTCCTGTAACCCGCATAGGAATAATCAAACAGCACAGGCTGTTCGCCATTTTGTTTGGCGCTCACAAAGTCTGTCCACAGCTCTGAGCTTTTGCAGCTCTTTTGCACAGTGTTGGTTTCCCATCGGATGCGCTGCTTCGCATCGACCACAACTAAGTTACCGTCATTCATGAGTTTGAGTGAGTAGGGACTAGTGCTACCTTTACCCAATACGGTATTGCTGTTCCATAGGGCTTGACCTTGCTCTGTGTAGAATCGCAATTCGCCTGGTTGTGAAACAAAGGAATTGAATGTTAGAGATATAACAAAGATGATGCAACCGGTATATGATACGCGTATTTGTGAGCACTATAGTAATCATAGAGTGAACGAACAGTAAAAAATGCTCTGTGAATATACTATGAAGAAAGTATGATTCAAAATACTTTCCTACAACATATACAATTAGATGTAATTTAGTTTAGGTTAATGTGTGTATATAATATGAATAATATATACATAAATATATATAAATTCAGC